CGAGAAGTTTAGATACCAGTGACTGAACGTTTGTGTAGCACACCGACACCTCGGTTAGCAGTTTTTTGATACAGAAGATTGCTGTGCATCAATATTGACAATGGATGGTCTACCCTTGACATATTTAATCGTGATATTGCGTTCTCCAGCCGTTAGCCTTCGTTTCAACTCCTCACGTAGTTGCTGCAGCTCATGCATTTGTGACGGTGTTTTGTCGTCCAAAATTTTAACGGAGTTATAGGTAGAGTGGCTTAAAATATCACCACATACCTCCTGGAAAAAACTTCCTACCTAAGGTCGACTGTATAACCAATCTACCATCCACCTTGCAAAAATCTCTAAGGAACAGTGAGTTTTGATCCCTTCATTAGATTCATCCCCGCATGACAGCACACCGTCCGTCCTTAGGACTGTCCGCTTGCCAGCGTCAGATTCACAATTTTCCCAAATGGATATCAAATAATTCTATCGAGTTACCATCAATGTTTACAGACTTTCATCAGTTAGGTCACTTTCATATTCGGAACCTTTAATAAGTAACTGCAGCAACAACTGTCAGACTGCAGTGGACAGTGTTGGGTAATCTGGAAAGCTAGAAGTAGATGAAGCTGGTTAGGTTAGAGGGTATGACTAAGGTTACGTTCAACAAATATGTTTTTTATACCAAAGCGGCCACGTAGGCAGAAGCTTAAATAGCGGGTGGCTGTTATAAAGAGCTTAAATACACTTTGCTAATTCGAATTTTGGAGTGTTCCAGCTCTGGATGTACGAAACTGGACAAGGTTATGATGGGAGGCCGACGTCAGGCGGGTCTGTCTAGCAGGTCCATCGCGCGGCGGCAACATGAAGGAGAGCTAGGGCGTAGATAATGTAGTCGGGCAGCACCCCAAATGTGGCAACGGTATACGAGGCTAGGTACACGGTGACGACGTTAAACGGAGAAAAGTACTTCTTAGCCATGAACAAATAGCCCAGTTTTTTCACAGCAACAACCACGATTGACGAGATGTGCCTGTGTCATCAGCTAGCCTACTCTTGTTCTTTCCAGCTTACCTGCAGAGATCGGCTTGCCACTCTGAATTCCTGCATAGAGTGCTATCATCGCCAAATCTGTTGTGCGGATTGATCGTACACGAGAGGAGGTGTTGATATGTGATATGAGAAACAATGTTTGGACCAAGACCGAACCCTGTGGAAGACCCGCATTGAAATTATGAGACTAACAGGAATTAGGCCGGATATCTTGCAGTCAGTCAGAAAGTCCGTTTGCAAAGTTCCTCTGAGAGGTTATATGATGGAAGTTTGCAGAAGAGGGCAGCATGCCACAACTGAGCAAATGCTTTTGTGATGTCTATTCCCCATCTACATTTAACAGTTTCTGGTAGAAAATGTAAGGGTAAAAGTTAGTAATTCCGTATAGCTAGTTCACGAAATATTGGACATAACAACCTGTGTATGTCCACGTTCAGTTCATTCAGCCGAAAACGTTGCGCTATTGCCCATAGTGTGCATGAATATAAATCAACAACAACGTTTCTCGCACTTCCTTTGGGAGAATTTTGAATGAGAACCTCGGTATGGAGGATGGTAAAGTTTAGTTAGTCAAAAACCTGAACTGCATGACCATCCCATGCGTTTTTGGTTCGCCCAGTGGGCTGAAAAATCTCTTCACCTCGGAGGCAAAACTGTCGTATTTGGTGATAAGAAATTCCACTCGTGGTCCAAGAGTGACTGTGCGGTTTACCGACTTGGCTGCATCATTGGGCCACTTGTATTCGAAAATCAGCAAAGAGATGCCGATTCAGTCAATGGCGAAAGTTACCGGTCATGCGAATGTTAGTTTCTAGCAGTTCAACCTTTGACCACCGAAAACCGAGCCGAAAACCGAATAATCAGCCGAAATTCTAATCTCAATTGGCCGCCTCGAAGCTACGATTCAAATCCGTCAGACTATTTTTTGTGGGAAGCCAATGAGAACGAATTTTGTGCTAACCATCCAGAAACAATTGAGGTTTTATTATTCAAAAGAAACAAGCCCAAGTAATAGAAAGAATACTTGAAAATTAGGTCAATCGGATGAGGTACTGTCAGGCCAGCCATAGCTGTCATTTAAATGATTTGTGTTTCAGCCTTGAATGTGAACGTTTAACCTTTCCAATGAAGCAAAAAATCTGAAAAAATATGCAATAGTTTCTTATTCTACCCGATTCGAATTTCAAATCCTAAATGGTCCACCATTTATATCTCAATGTGAAATATGTCTAGCTCAATGTAGATTTCAGAATTTATTTTTGTGTTCTACTATTGTCCAATAAGCTACGTTTTTTATATGTTACTCCACTGGCGAGGAAGTATTGTAAGCGCTAAAATTTTTAAAATTGAGGTATGACGTTTTTTGGAGTTATATGACATGCATATCATGAAACGTCACGTCACTCATTTCCGTCGGTCGGCCTATCTGCCTGTCTGTCGGTCGATCTGTCAGTCCTCTAATAATTTGCCTGTCTATACTTTTGAAAATATCGCTGGGATTTTGATGCAATATTCACACAAGATTACTACTGTGTCAAGGATGAAAAAGCTTTGTAGTTGTTGAAAATCGGTCTAGTGGCGGCGGAATAACAGTCAAAAAACGAAAAGAATTGAACCCACTCAAACTTAGATTTGTGACGTTTGAGCGGATACTGAACATTTGTGTAAAAATGTAGCTCAGTAGTTATCTGCACCTATTAGTACAAATTTCACATATCACAAGTTTCTCCGTTCATATGCCCATTAAACAGAAATACTTACAGTACGTATGTCAGGAATTTTAATGCACCGAGCCCTTTCTGCGCCTGACCTCATCGTTGGCGCTTTCGTTGGTCGTGGTCGATACCACCAGTAAGGCAAGGAAGAAATCTCTAGCGTTATCATATGGGTGCGGACTTTACGGGCTTGTATGGGTTTGTTTCACTGACCTGATCCATTTAATTTTAATACATGTTCGTAGCAAACTTTTTCTAACCTGTGCTGAATGTAATCTTCTATGAACTGATAACAGCGTTGCGGGGAAAATACAGTATCAACCTACTTGACGCCATTTTTTTAATGTGGCGTGTAATAGCTGCCCCTTCAGCTTTCTCGCTGTCGGGTCGCGGACGTACGAATAACTGGTTTGACCGTTAAGTGACCCTACTATTAATATTATCTATACTTTGGTTTTCATGCAACTTTTCCTTTCCTTCCGGCACCATCTGAAGACTTTTATGAGTTCGCTGATTACCTCAGGATGGGAGAAGAAAAAATAGCCCCCCAAGGCGAGATTTCTGCTGATAGATAGATTTTATTTTTTAGGAGAAGAATCGTAAAACTCCTCGGGGACTTTCCGATGCGTCTCTAGCGTATTTTTTGATACACTTGTTATCTCACTTTCTTTACATCAGTTTTGTATAGATTAAATGTTGTATTGCTCCGATCTTCAGAGTATTGTACGTAATATTCAAGGATTTCTTAATTAAAAATAAGTGCCACACAAATGATAACTTGACTAACAAAGTGACAATGTTGGGAAGCAGTTTATTTTGAAACGCCATCTCAAGTAAAGTCTTGAACGAAAAAAGGAATTTTGTGAAAATTCGGTTCTTTCTTCTATCTCCGGAAATACTGTGAAACTGGAATTTTCTTAGTTACCTAAATGCTCAACTTTGCCCCTATTAAACTTCGTATCTCTTGCCGTTTGCGAGATATCAATGGTGAGTGTCGAATTTGGAACACCCCGTTAAAAAAATCACACATTTCTGCCTGTCAATCTATCGCCAGTTAATCCTTGATCCCTCTAACTCAAACACCCGAGATATCTCAGAAGGCTCTCTCAAAATTCTAAGTGTAGATACAAAAGAAAATTCGTCGGTTGTCGAGAACAGTGACACAACTCAAAAATCACGTTTTTTGAGATATATGCATGAATGATCGGCGAAAAGTGTATATTTGCATCACACGAGCCGTCACTACTGTAGTTTGAAAAACAGCCGGTAGATAGCAGAAGTGTTACTTTTTTTTCAGTAACTATTCACCCGGGCGTCTCAAGAAAAGTGTCATAACCCCAGTTGAGCCCGGCACGTCTCGCAGTGTGGTAGTGCGTGATCAAGAAAAACGACACATTTTGACTTCGGTTATGTGATCTGAACGCTGTTATCAAGAAAAGTGACACATTTTGTTTTATGACGATATTGATAATAAGGAAGGTAGCATACTTAGTTGAGTCTTATCGTGTATGTCTTTAGCCTTCAGTTATGTCGTCCTTTCTGATAAATAGTGATTATTTTTTGACAAGACTTGATCAGTTTCATCCTAATTTTGAGTTATGACGGTGTTCTTCATAAATTTACTCTGACTAAATCATACCTCGAAAAATATGTCACTTTTTTCAACACTTTAATATGCCATTTTAAATAAACATGATGATTTTGTTTTAGGTCAACTATGAAACCTTTTAAAAATGTTTTTGTCGTTCTGAGAATCTTATTAGATTTCTTTCCAAAAAGTGATGGATTTGAATACCAATAGTCTACTAACTCAACGAACAAGGCTGTTAATACAATTGTCTGCAGAAAAAGGACTTAGTGATGTAGAGAATGTGGGAATATATGGACAATCATCAGAAACTTTTAAGTCGGTTAAGTCGTGATGTCTTAAGTCAAACGTACGAGTATTTAATTCAACCTGTAGATGCTCTTATGGAGAATCTAAACGAGTAATATTTTGGTGAAATATTTTAAAGTAACTATGGCAACCTGTCTTATGCTGCAATATTTTGATATACGGTTACTATAGTTCTAGTGAGATATTTTACGAAAATATTGCCCGTTTAGAGGATCCATTACAAAGACAAACTTTTCCATCAATGAATTGACTTCTACAAATGTTTGAAAAAATGAAAGCTACTTGAGCTACTATTGATTCTTTTTTCTCTTTTTGGATCTGGCAAAGAACTCACAGCACCTAATTCATCACCTCCAATGGATCTACCTTGTGAGGGAGAAAATGCGTTACCACATTTCAGAGATGTTGCAGAGATTGTAGATTCATCCTTGACAGCTAGCCCATCAAAAATAAACGATCAGCTGATTGATGTCGACAATGGCCTGCTTGATTCCCTAGGCACAGAAAAGGGCGAAGAGATACATGATATTGATCACAGTCCAGAGACACATTTTCAAACATACGAGAAGCTCAAAATACAGAAGTGGATTTCGACGATATTGAGTCACCCTGTGATGACTCCGATGCAGACTCAGACTATGTTTCGTATGAATCGGCAGAATCTTCTTCCCCCAAGTTATCAAATTTCGGAGAGCCCAAAGCAAAGAAGCCCGGAAAAAGAAAAATGGATGTAGATGCTTTGCAAAAGAACATTCCAAAACGGCAACGGAATAGAGGGTTCGAATACACATCGTCATCCAGCAAAAGGTTCAGCAAGTCCTGAGAAATGGGACCTCCCTGCCAAAATTGCCGACTGAAATGCAACGAGAAAATCTCCCGGACTGTGGAAAGAAAACTAATATTCTCTGATTATTGAAGGAGATCTGCAGCAGCAACGAGATTACTTGGCAAAATGTATGGAATCTGTAACATCCAGATATCAGTACAAAAAGAAAATAGTAGACGTGCTAACAATAATGCGTTCTACTTTTTTATCAGAGGAACTAAAATAAGAATATGTAAACATTTATTCAGAGCAACTTTAGGTATTACGGACCGTCCGATTAGAACTGTGTTGGATAAACAAAGAAGCTTCAGCAAAGGGATACTGTCGGGTGAACAGAGAGGGAAACACGGTTAATCACCATCGGGTCTATGATGCTATTAAAAATGGGATTAGAAACCACATAAATTCGATACCCCGTATAGAAAGTCACTATTGTAGAGAAGATTCGAATAGACAATACATTGATGAGGGCAAAACAGTAGCCCAGCTACACAGAGACTAAGTCGAATCGTGCAAACAAGCTGAGAAACCTTACGGCAACTACCTACAGTATATTCAGATAAGAGATAGACCGGACATAAACAAGACCACGTGATCATCGAACGCTGTAACATTCGGCAGGGACGTATTAAGAGTCACGCAGTACATATTTTAGATAGTAGATGCTGCTTTGCGTAACTTTGTAGTAAATTAGCACAATTCGATGTGTATACGATTGGTGATGGATATAGGATCATGTGGGGGTGGGGTAAGAAATATATAATGATGTAAATATACATAAGGGTTTCAAAATTTTCGCTTCGATTTCCAGCTTCGGATGCCGCCTGATGTTTGGTGAAATACAGTCGAATATGATCTCAAAATGGCGTTTAAATTAGCCTAAATTAAAAATAATCGTATATCTCTTAAAATTGCTTTTAGAATATTGATTAGTATATTTTTTGATTTCTAGGTAAATATGTAACCAAATTAAAACGTTCAAAACGTAAAAAAATGTGCATGGTTGAACATTGTCAGAAAGTAGATTCTTGAATAGGTTTTGCCAAAATGGGTTCAAAAATGTCAATAATTAATTAAAAAATACAGTAGCTTTATAATTACTTATAACTTACCGAATTTGATGAACGACATCTTTTATTGGAAAGATGAGCTTGATGAGCTTTCATCATCGCTACTGCCTGAAGCACCAACGTCAATAATGAATGGCTCGACTTGTTCGTCTAAAATATTGTCCAGTTCCCACATTCTCTTTTCAACTTTGTCTTTCACGTGCTTAATACAGTTTTCCCATTTTTGCGCTGATATTAATTCTAGTGCTTCTTTGAAAAGTCCTTTGAGGTCACAAAATTTAAAAGTTGTATTGTGCTTAGCTATATAATTTTTAACCTCTGCCCATATGAGCTCAATGGGATTGAGCTCGCAATGGTATGGAGGTAAACGGAGCACAGTTTTATTTTGACTTGCTGCCATTTCGTCAATGGCGTATTTTTGATATTCCGCCTTGTGATCCTTGACAATTCTTAATAATTGTACTTTCAGCATTGCTTCTTCAAAGTTGATATTTTTCGAGCGGAGCCAATTTTGAACATCAACTTTCCTTGAAGCCGTTGTTGGGACCTTCTCCATTCTTCGAGAATGATAAGGCGCATTATCCAACACAATTACTGCGTTTTCCTCTAAGTTCGGTAAAATTTTTGAAAACCACTGTTCAAACGATTCGCCATTCATTTCCTCGTGGTAATCTCCAGTTTTCTTAGACTCAAAGCACCACAGACCGTCAACAACAAATCCATCCTCACTGCCAATATGGCAGATAATGGGCCTTTTCCCTTTACCTGGAAATCGAAGTACTAACTGGTGTAGATTTATTTCAATAAGCGAACCTTTTTCAAATGTTTTCATCACATTCAGCGAAAAAATATTGAGTATCAGATTGCTATAATTGGGATTATTTAGTCATATCGAAAGAAAGAATATTGAACGTCGTATGATTACTCAGCGCTTCACAATTTAATTTAAAGTTATAAACCTTTAAAAAATGAATGATCAGGAACCTGAAATACGCGCAAATATTAATATTAACAAATTATAACTTTATAAAGCTTAAAGTATGAATTAAAATGATTAGAAATATTAGGAACGGTACACAATATAAAACTTAGTAACTTTTTTTAAGTTTATAATGTTCGACATATTTTAAGATTATATTAAAAAATTATTGAAATATCGAAAACACATAAAAACATGGCTTAAAAAAGTTCTAACAAATGAAAATGACAATAAAACATCCACGCATTTTATCGAAAGTTATAAAAGTTTTGTTACTTGTAATATGTTTTATCTGCCCCCTGGAATTAATGTTTAGAACCTTGTTCCCAAGGTTTGAAAAACATCCGATTGTTGTCTATTACTCGTATTTACCTGCTGGATTTTTTAATCCGGTGGACAGTCCATCCAGAAAGGCCCTCCTGGATGAAGTTACAGAATCATCAACCCATACTTTACTTGTAGTGTGTCCTGCGTTTACCCACGTTTCATCAAGGTAATAAATCTTCCTGTTTTGATTTCTATATTTCCCAATTTTTGTTAAATAATCCCTCCTCCATAGCACAATTTCTTCTCTATCCAGTAGTAAACTATTACGACCCCGTTTTTTCCATTTGAAATTTAAATGCTTCAGTAACGCATGGAAAGTTGATCGTTTGAAATTTGGCAACGTTGTATCTCCATTTACCTCCTGCAGTACTTTATCTATAGTAGGTATTTCATTCCTAAAGAAGAATTCATGTACTTTCCTCCTAATCGCATGCTTATCAGCTTCATCCAATGATTTAACAATACTTTTGCGATGTTTACTGGTCATTGGCTCAGAAAAGGTGTGATTTTTTTTGTATTGTCTTAACACATACACTGATGCGCGACACACCCCAACTTTGTGAGAAACCTTCACAACAATTTCTTTGATGGTTGATGCCTCGTTCTCCTCGCGCTCGATCTTATATATATTCAAAATGACCTCTTTCATTTCTGCACTCAGGTGTCTTTTTTTAGAGCGTTTCCTAGGTAGACTACAGGAGTTTACAACTTCATCGGCAGTATCTGTACTACTGGGCATTTTGCGCAAGCAGTTGATAACAATAACAATCAATAACAAGGTATAACAATAACAACGACAAACTCAACAACTTAATAAGATAACAAACGAAAACGTCCAAAGAAATATCAAATTGCAATGATGCACACGACATACGTAACACGTCTGAACCTGAATGTGACTCTGCCTTGATACGACTGCTCTGCCGCTCGGCATAGGTATTTAATTGCGAATTGACCAATGAGGGCTCCTGTTTTACGTCGAGACGGCGGCGTTAGCGTGAAAATCACCCGAACCTTTTGTTTACATCCGGTCTATCTCTTATCTGAATATACTGTAATGTACAGTAGAATATTCAATTCTGAATTTATTATTCCATTCTTTTCGCCTAAAAAAGACTGGTGAAGACAGACAAAATTTAGTTAGAGATTATGAGACTCACATCGCTGAAAAAGACCTATCACGCCAAGAAAAAAAAGAAGATAAAGAAAATAGTGAATGCAACGTAATCGTTGCAGTTTATGATCTGTAGGCTGTACTTCAGTGTCCTAGAGGCGAGACATCAACTTTTTACTACACGTCAAAATTGAATGTATTTAATGTTACAATTTACGAATTGAAAACAAATGATGCCCACTGCTACATGTGGGATGAGTCTGAAGGAAATAGAGGTGTCTGCGAAATAGGTACATGGGTATTAAATTACATTGAATCTCTAGAAAGTAGAGGTAATCAAATGTATAACAAGAAGATTGAGCTTATCTTTCACTCTGATAATTGATGTGGACAGCAGAAAAACCATGTTATGCTTAAAATTTACCACCATGCTGTCCAAACATACAATTTCATCAACTCAATAACGCATAAGTTCCTCATCAAAGGACATACCCAGAATGAAGGCGACAGTGGCCATTCCGTGATTGAACCACATGTCAGGCGTTCATTAAAGTTAGGTCCCATATTTATTCCAGCCCAGTATGTAACAATAGTATGAACGTCCAAAGTATATGGTAGCCCCTATCGAGCGCATGAGCTGAATCATGAAGACTTCCTTGGTTTAAAAGATTTTGCTTCTACGTCAGCAAGAAGCTTCACAAAAAATGATAGAAACGAAAGTATCAAGATAACAGACATTAAAGTAGTAAAAGCGGATAAGAATAACCCTAACAAAATACTTTATAAAACATCTTGCTGATGAATACCAAACCATTAATATAGGGCTTTCTAGAAACTGCAGAAGACGAAATGTAGAAAGCGATAACACGTTGGTAATCAAAAAGCTATAATATCGAGTTAAACCAGGGGTTACTGAAAAAAAGAAAAGCAGTAGTAAGTTTGTTCCACCAACGAAATAACCGTTCTCTGATTCCGATGACTTACTTTCAGTATCATAGTAACTTGTAAAAGGTAGTTTTACTTATGGCTTTCCCAAGTAAGCTATAACTATGTTTGCCTGGCCATGTATCTTTGATTACTTGTTTTTTACTCTTAGAGATGTTTCTTTGTTAAGTGATATTCTGGGCATTATTATTTATTTTTATCATGTTCCATAGTTTTGCAATGGTGCTTATTATTTTTTAATTCTGTGCTGTAAAACAGCCTCAATTTAGAGTGACTGTATTGTATCACTCTGTACATAAGTTTTGTTTCTAATTTCCATATATTTTTTTAATAGAGAATGTTTTATTTGCATTTGTTGGAAACAAAATAAATACAGGTTATTTACCAAATGTACGTTTTATTAATAAAAAATTTATTAAAGAGATGGCATTGTGACTCTTATGTTTATCACGAACAACGACATAAATGTACAA